TCTCTATTTCCAATTGAGTGATTTCAGATTTCAGATAAAACTGGAACATCTTAGTCATCTCAGTCAACATCTTGTCAATAAACGTCAGCCTTCAGACATCTATGTGAACTACAGATCAGGTAAGCAAGCAAATGCCTCTATTGAACCACAGTCCTGAATCTTGGATTAATTCAGGAACCTTTCAGCCAGATATTCACTTTGAGAATCAATACAGCAAACAACAAGAAATCTTTGGAAATCTTTTGGCAATGTACTGCTTCACTGAGTATATAAATACTCTTCTAGGTTTTGCAGAAGTCTACATTACCAAAGTTGATAAGGCAGTGATTAAAGAGCTAATTAGCAAAATGCTTAAGATGGTAGAAAATGAATAAAAAACTGCAGGTCAGAAATGTTGCCTCCAGGAAATTAAAAACTCATTTCTTGGCAAACAGTCAAGATTATAATATTGTTCCTTTATCTCAATGCACACTTTACTTTCTGTATCTCAATGTGCCTTCTACCTTCTGGATGTACAATAGCAAGAGGAAGTCATCTTCACATGCTAATTTTAGCAGACCCAACAAACTGAGCATTTCTTATTTATTCGGCTTTGTAGAAAGCAAAAGCCTTTTCCTTTGTGGAAAAGGCTTGTTTCTGCCTATTGAACTTCTGCTTCATGCCATTACTTTCACTAGTCCTTTTCTCATAAGCTGAGTGGGCTGTAACTAGAAGAACCAAGTGAGGAAAATACAACTATGCAGCTTCTGCACAGCTGTGAACTAGCTCACTAGTGAAGAACTAATTTATAATGATCCCAGCAGATATCAGAAAGAACCAACCCTACTCCTCTGAGACATTCCTCAGAAGGAAACCAAAGACATGTATCATTTTACTGCTACAGGATGCACCAAGATGACAAAAATTGTGTGTAACTCTTCTTCAGGAGTGATGCCTCCCTTGCACAGTTACTCATTTGGCTCACTTGGCCAATGCTTGCCTCTTGCATCCTTTCTCCATACCTTATCTCCAGAGCCTGTTTTCTGATGTCAAAGGGAATGCTCCATGGCCTCTTTCTTCTCTGAATGCCCCCCAGGCACTCCAGGCAGACTTTGAGTGAGGGCAGTGCTCTCCATAGACTCAACACCGTTCCCAGTGAGGAACCAAGCTCTTCCCACAAACCCAACAATTAGGTCCATTATGATTGTATATCTAGCACTTGTGGATTATGCCTTTAAAGAAAAAAATCTATTTCAATATTACTTGTCCAAATTCATCTGAGTTTGCCCCAGACTTGGATAAAAAATGCAAAAAGGCAAGCTTTTTAATCCTTTCAATTAAAATCCTGAGCCAGGATTAACTTATTATAATTCATGACCTGAGCCCTGGTGCCTGGAACTTGCCCTGGGAAAGCAAGTAAGGCTGCCCTTACTTGGGACAGGTCTGTGCAGAGTGAAGAGCCTATAGAGTCCTTATCTCCTTCACAACATTCACTGATGAAAACTGAAAAATCAGTTCCACTAAAAGAGGCCTTCAATGCTTTCTTTTTCCTGACAAGAACTGCATCAGAATTTTCATCTAAAGTCTATTGCTCAAATTATTTCAACTGTGCTTTAAAAATAATAAAACCTTAAAAATACTAGAGCTGTGCTTTAAAAGTAATAAATAGACGTCAGTATTATGAATGTTGAGGAAAACTGACAAGGAATAGATGAAAAAATATTTGGAAAATCAAAATAGCAGCATTTTTCAAATAGTTCTACCTTGGACCACTGAAACCAGACAAGTAGTACTGTAAGGTACATCAGTAGTGTAAACCCTTGGGCCAAGTCTGTTGTCAGTTTGAAAAAATGGATCCTGCACAAGTCACGTTATATACTTGTGACTTGCTGCAATTACTGCGCCAACTTGAACAAGTCATTTAAGCATGTGCCTGATCAAAAGCACATTTAGGAGCCTGATTGCCTACAGAAGGCAGAGAGTCAGTCTTTCAAGAACACCTCTGCACTTTGAACAAATGCCTTAAGCTAATTGCAGGATGTGGAAGCGAGAAGATAAGGGGCTAATATGTATGTCTCAAACACTGATAACCACACAGCAGTGGAGCCAACAATGGATTCTTGGTAGTGCCAGCCAGTTACCAACCATGATTGGAGAAAGGGGCCAAATGGAAGTAGGGCAGTGCCTTTCTGGCACAAGTGTCCTTGTTCTGGCTCCCAGAGTTAGCACAACAGAGTACAGCTGAGGCACAGGAGTGATGCTGATGAGCCAGCATGGAATGTAAGGGGGGATCAAGAGTACCCAAGATCCCCGAAGCCCCCCAACCAATTTCCACAAAGGTCAAAAATAATGGGCTGCACATGATAACTCATTTGCATAGAGAGTGACAAACTTAGCTCCAGTGTATGGAAACTTCACTATAAAAAGGTCAACAAAGCCTGGACACACGTGTGTTTCAGGGGCCTGCATACCTGTCAGCTGGATTGATGCTGGAACCAGGACTGGTGGTACTGCCCTCTTCCTTTCTGTTCATTCTCTCTCATCCTCTTTAATCCTCTCTCTCTCTCTCTCTCTCAGTCCCTCTCCTTTCATCCTAGCCCTTTATCAAAACCCACTGCCCCATGTTTATATAGGAGGTCAGGGATTACCATACACATTTCCATGCCAAATGTGTAATTTATTAATAAAACTTTGTAAGCTTTTTCAGGCACTCTTACTTTTGTCATTCCTTCCGACCACAAGGACCTATGATCCTTGGGAGCTCCCTTCTGTGTAAGGGTGGGATGCCACACAGGACCCATTAAAATGGAAGTACACAATAAATCAGTGATCTAGCTCTGGCTACGCATAAATATTTACACTTTTCCTTGAATGGACACTTGCCTTGAATTAAATATTCCTAGTTAACCAGCCATGCTTATTCGTTTTATTTTAATATTAAACCACACAATGCAGGCTGGGGACTCCAGCAAATACTAGGACCAAGATTAACAAAAAAAATCATAATGTTATTACAGAGAAGCAATAAACAACAATTTTCATAAATTTTATGAACACTATGAATGCTCAAAGAATTTTGAAGTGTGATTTTCCTGTTTTGAATAATTTTAGTATATTATTTACTTGGAGTTATTTTAAAATGCTGATACTAATGGGGTAGGAGAGGCAGGAGGGGAGGGATACTAAAAATAATGGTAGAGGTGTGTGAGGGTAATGTGTGCAAGTATCAACTTGCAGGCATACACAGGTTTGCGCACAGGTAATTATGTTAAATATCCATGAAAATTGATCTAAAACACCATCAGGGGAAGGGATTTGTATGCACAGCAAGCTGCTGTATCAGGATTATGAATGTTGATGTCAGTTTGAACAAATGGATCCTGCACAGTTCACTCTATGTATTAAATCAGGATTAATACCTCTGGACTTTGGAAGTCAAAAATATAAACCAAACATGTGTCTGTCTAGTTTGGGTGGCCACCTGAAATTAGGTATATTATACAGGTGTCCTACTAGAGAAACCAAGGTGAGCCTGAAGAAGAGCATTTATTTGTTCACCTAACACATGAATGGAAAATGAGGGGGCGATTTGTGAGGGAGCATTGACCTGCCACTGATCAATTAGGAACTAATCTTCTTCCTTTTAAAAAGAGCACACATACACACCCCAAGTAGGGTATTTGTGATTTATTTTGCCAGTCCTTGAATTAACAGGCCACTGCATAATTCTGGAGATGGAAAAAAACCATCAACCTTAGCAGGCTGGATTTTTGGTACAATTCCAGCTTGTTTTTAGATTCCCTAACTGGCTTTGGCAGATCTGAGCAAAGAATTGCAGTGACAGAGTCCCTTCAGCATTTGTGTTCATAGCATCAATCTGCCATTCACAGTTTAACTCTTGACAAGCCTTTGCCCATTGTCTCAGTGACAGGGGCCAAACTAAAACCCAGGACTCAAGCTATTCACATCAAGATCCAACTGTTTTCAGCTTGCTTCACTGATTTTAGCCTGGGAGAAGTACAGTTCTGAATCTAGGTTAAGAATAGCTACCTTCCTGGTTTAAAGCTATTTAAGGAATTTCTAGTATACAAGGTCTGTATGTATAAATATTAAAAAGGGACAAAAAAACCCTGAAAAATTCATGCTTTTTTTAAGAAAACAGCAGACCTACAGCAATGTGTAGGTGGATCTAATACATCTGATACTGCTCCCAGAAGGAAGTCTACGTTATTCTTAGAAATGGGATTGCACGCTAAGTAACCTCTGATAGCTCCAGGTCAAATGTAACCTACAATAGTATTTTGAAGCTTACTAAGAAAATGAAGACCCTCTCTATTTTCTGCATTACAGTCATCCTGAATCAAAAATAAAAATTTGTTTGTCTACTAAATCAGTCATTCCCCCACTCACTCCACAAGCCCTTGCCCAAACCGAATTCTCTTATACAATTCAGGAAGATAGAATGCCTTGTTGTCAACATTTGGGTAACCCTGTCTACTGTTCTCAGCACTCTGAAACTGGTGGTGGTTACACCACAAAGCAAATACCTTCTGTACAGAAGAACCGGACACAGGGTACATAAGGACCAGAAACTGGAAAACCAATGTAGTGTTCATTTAATGGGCAGAAAATGTTCAAGTCCACAAAGGCAAAAGCTCTCCTCTCCTCTCCTCTCCTCTCCTCTCCTCTCCTCTCCTCTCCTCTCCTCTCCTCTCCTCTCCTCTCCTCTCCTCTCCTCTCCTCTCCTCTCCTCTCCTCTCCTCTCCTCTCCTCTCCTCTCCTCTCCTCTCCTCTCCTCTCCTCTCCTCTCCTCTCCTCTCCTCTCCTCTCCTCCCTCCCCTCCCCTTCCACTTCCCCTTCCCCTTCCCGTCCTCCTCCTCCTCCTTCTTCTCTCTATTTTTTTATCACCCTCTAGGGTGGTTTTGACAACATCAACACAATACTTCAGGTTAATTCAAGTTAACAGGGTATGCATGAGAGGCTGGCACATAGAGCTTGAGACTGGTTCAAAAGTCACTCACCTTCCACTACCACATTTGCAGGTTTCGAATAGGCTGTGCCCAAACTGTTCTTGGCTACACAACGATACTGTCCTGCATCTTCTCTCTGAACATTGTGTATCCTTAAATTCCCAGAATCGAGGACAGCGATGCGAGCAGTCTCCTGCCGGAGGAAGGAGCCATTGAGGTGAGGACTCTATATGCAGGCTGCACACAAACAGCATCAAAAATCTGTTTACAAAGTTTGGGCTTACATGCATGAACACCACCCATGTCCTACAACTCAAGGATTTGGGGCCAGCTCTTCCTGCTCATGACATGACACAAGCACCCATTGCTATTTTTGCAGTGAATTATAGCTTGAAAGAGCTCCTATTTAAGAGAACACTCACAAGTGCTTTCCTCAAGAGTTGTCCATACTTAGCAGTGGCAAGCATATATCACATAAAATATAGATACACAGAGAACATTTGGTTCATATGTAGAATCATTGCAAATGAAGATATTTATGAGATGAGCCCTGGATTTTCCAAATGCTTCCTTTCTAGCTACTAGAATTTACAAATACTATAACTAATGCTAATATTTAACACAGTACCTTTAGCAAATAATTATTATTACTGAAAACCATTCATACTCACCTTTACAACTGTTTCTCCTTTGACCCATGAAACAGAAGGTTTTGGATTCCCCATTGTAGTGCATGGAAGAACAGCCTTTAATCCTTCTATTATTTCCACATTTACAGGTGGACGGGTTATTTTGGGTCCTAAAATTTTTAAAGCCAAAAATTAAAGTTGGGATGAAGCTACAAGATAATAGAACAAGACAAATTCAGAAATTATATGCACAAATCTGCTACTTTATTCTGTATGTTGCTGAAAGATAAAGCATTCTTTCTTGGTTTTGAAGTTATTTGGTAAGAAAGAACTTTCTTCAGCACAGCATTCAGTTAAAAAAGCTGCAAAAGCAGCTAACTTGCATGGGTTATTTGTTTTCCTGAGCAGAGTTTGACAGTCATTTGAATTAGGGCCTGGGCTAAAATCCAAATTCAGATAAGAGTATTTCCAGTATTGAAGAATGTTAGCATTCCAGGTTCTGACATTTTTCACTGTGTAAACAATGTCTTGTCTCAAAGCTCAGATCTGAATTGAATTGATTTTGAAAGAGTTTTAACTCAGGCTTGCCTCTAGCTCAACAAGAAGGGTGTGTAAATGCAATTAATATCCTTAACTGAAGGATTTATAACTATGCTAGTGAAAAGGACAATCAAGCCTTAAAGAAAACACAATCAAACTCCCTTAAAGTTAATCAGGGATAAATTTAAATTCATTTTACTGAAAGAACACAGTCTGCCTTAGTCTGAGCTGAGAGTATAAAGGATTATTATATTAGTATTTTGGGAGATCTGACATTTTGAGGCCCTTGCATGATAATGAACCAGCAGAAAAACGACTTTCAGAGAGCATCTCCTGGCCACCACCTGCAAGTGACTAGGATGATGTAGAGTTCCAGTATTACCGGACCCTGAGGGTCATCTCATTAGCACAGACAAATCCTTTCCTACAAACAGATGCTTTAGCCAGAATATACCTCCTCTGCTTTTTAAAGTGCTTGTGTAAATAACTCTAGCCATGTGAGTCCAGCTTTGCTGAGTTTGGCACGTATGTAGCTCTCTGCAAGAGCAAATCTTTTGCCGTCCATGTGGAATGATGAGATTTACAACACGGTGTTCCAGAACATTCAATACTGCTATTCAGAGCATCTGAATATAATTTAGTTGATTTTGCCATCCTCAGGAAGAAATCTGTATAGTGAAATTTTACAATTAAAATTCACCAGGGACTTATGCAGTATTGCCACAGAGGACTAATCTATCAAATTCTTTTACAGATTTTTGCACAAAGGGCATTCTTCAAAGCATCCATTTTTTCTTCTGATCTTAGAACAAATGTGTGTTATTCAAAGTAAATAATCACAACTGCATTAAGTTATGATCCCATATGCCATGTCTCTGACTGAAAGAACTGCACCCATCTTCCCAAGAACCAAGAATGGGTTTGCCCTGAACATGGATCCCCAGGTGCCATAGATGGGAGTCTGCTCAGGCTTTTGATTAAACACTCACATGGCATCAGGAAGAAATTGCATTTCCACTTACGCATTTTCACCTGGAGAGCCCCACAGCTCTGTGCAGCTGCACCAACTCCATTATCTGCTGTGCAGCAGTACACCCCATCATCACTGTCCTCCACGCTCAGGATGGTCAGCAGCTGCCCATTCCTCTGGATGCTGTACCGTGTGTCAAACAGCCTGCAGGGCAGAGCATGGATTGTCAGGGACAGCCAGGGACAGAGAAAGGGAATTGCATTTGAATATGCAGACTGCTGATGCCACTACAAATGGCAATAAGTTCTACCTCTGATTTTCAACCCACAAGCAGAAGGGAAGGCGCTGAAAATGTTGAGTTCTGAATTAGGATTCAGGTTTTCACTAGACCATACAGTTCCAGACTGTCACTAGTGTAGTGGCAATTCTTCCGCCCCACAGACATTGGTAAAATCAGTAGGCTCATGTTTGGGGTTTTTACTGGCCAAGGACAGGCATGAGCACAAATAATCAGTTCCAGCCAGGTCCTGGTTTAGGTATCATTGTTCAATATAAGAGAAAGATGCTTACATAGGAACTAGAGCTAGTTGAAATTGTTTAAAGAAACCTTCTTCAGGAAAAACAAAACAAAACAAAGCAAAAAACGGGGTTTTTTTTATTAAACCGATAAATATTATGGAAATATTTTTAAGGTAAACCAAAGACCATGAACTTTTGTGTCTACATCCTGGAGTAGTTTTGTCTATTTGTTTTGCAAAAAAACCACCAAACAAACAAACAAGCAAAGAAATGTGCTGAAGCCATCTGCAAGCTAGAGGATTCAAGGATAGCTATGGTTTAATGACAGCAGGCTTTAACCCAGATATTTCAGAGAACTGCAGAAAGCCCTGAAGCTGGATCAACAAAAATACGGGATATTGTAACAAAGTATGTGGGCCAAAGACCAATTTCATATGTGAGCATGACAAGAGAAGTGTGGTATGTGAGTAGGGGGGATATGTGGAGTCAAGTGGGAGAGCCAAGGAAATCAGAAAAAAAGCTGATGAGAAATCAGAGAGCTGAGGTATTGATCTTCATTGCAAAGCTATGATAAAAATAAAGAAATACTATAAATAAAACACAAAGAAATTAACTATTTGTAGTGTCTATTTTCACATCTTTGTTGATGCTTTCAGGAAGCACCTTCATGCAATTGGACTTTGATTTTATGAACAGTGGAAAAAGTGTTGGGACCTGAGGATTTTATCCCAAGCAATCACAAGTATCTGACCACTACATATGTCAAGTTTTGTCATTTACTGTTAAAAATTGTACAGTAGTCATAAACTAATCTGAATGTACCATTATGATGGCTTAGAGATTATTTCCTTTCAACAGCATTTCACCACTCAGTATTACATGTCCCTCCTCTTTTCCAACTTGGGAAGAAAGAGTGCCATGAAGTTATCCACAGTGTAAAAGACATGCTGTCTCTGTCCCCTTCTTGTCCTAAGGAAGGCTCATTGTGGGCAGCCCTGTTCTGGACGACAGGCCAGGTAACAATTTCACTCAGCACAGGGCACCTGCTAGTTTACTTGCACAAGTTTTGATGTCAAAAGGAAAGGCACATCCAGAAGACTAATGCTGACTATTCTCTGCACTGGCTCTATTCTCATTGAAGTTCAAAGTTTACATACTGTTTTGTTTTGCAGGTTAATCTTGCTGTCTGTCCAAGATGCTGGAACCTTGGCAGGAGAAGAAAATTTTGGAAATGAAATAACTGATATTAATTGCTTTCAATTACTAGACCCTTTGGAGTTTGATACACACATACACACACACACACACACACACACAGGGGAACAGAAATACATTTAGAGAGGGTTTTTTCAGAAAAAAGTGTCTTCTGATCTGATGCTTTCCAGTGTACAAATACTTTCATCTGAGTTTTTAGAAAGCAACAAATATATTCATATTTGTTTTCCTCTGTCTTTGGTCTGAGCTTTTGTATCCAGCAGTACTGAATATTAATGCCTTGTGAAACGAAACACTTGCTGTTACTAATGCTGCTTCAGAAGTCCCTGTAAACGAATGAAGCACCTGAGCTCTATGGCCTTACCAGAAGAGATGATTTTATCTGTATTTTCCATTTTGGTCAAAGCACTGTGTCTCAGAGACAGAGTGGAATGGCTTTAAGAATGATGTGTTTGGCCTCTGGAAGAGGGGGTTGAGGTTGATAAATGATCTACATTTCAAACTACCTTAGAACACAGGGAAAAATTATAATCTTAAAGACATGGAAAGAGAAAGACATAGTCCTTCATGGATGGCTTTCTCTCCCTGCTTTGATTTTCAATCATGATGTCACCGATGGGGAAGGAATTAGGAGAAAGGTGACATGATTTGGAAATAGCATCCATGGAAGTTCAGAACTTCATGCTGGAACAAAGTCAGGATCAGAAGATTAGGGCCAAATTTTGCTGAGATGGCCAACAATGAAAAAAAAAATTCTGAAGGCCTATATTAATATTTGTAACTTTCTGCTTTGTCCTACTCTAAAGCAGTTTTCCAAGCAGTGAGACCTCCTTCTGCTGCGGACTTATTTGAGCCTCCTATGCCAGTGGTTCAAAACCTTTTTAGATGTTTAACCACAACAGTGAGAACCATACTTCAGATGACCATCTGCCCAATATGCACATCTCCTGTGGAGGCTAGGTATTGACTATGTTACACAAAGTTATGTTGTGCTGCATTTTCCCTCACAGAGTAAGTCACTTACAGCCGTTTAGAATGAGAAACTGATGTGAAGCCATGTGGCAGATGTAATGTGGCAGATGTAATGTGATTTGAGAGCTAGAAGATCGAGTACAGTTACTTTGTAGAAACCTGTCTACAGCAAAAGAGCAAAAACAATGGTAGCGACTTCCACAACACGTTTCCACACTTCCAGAAGGCTGTCTTCTTTGTTGACATCTTGATGCCTGGTTGTTAACGTCTGACAGTGCAAAACAATGAGAAGACAATTTCCAGATCCAGAACTAGAAGCAAAGAATGGCACAGCGCAACCCCTCTCATGCAAAGATTCCAAGAACATTGAGACAGACAACAAACCCTGCTAAGCTCCTTTTAAATATTATACAGCATCCTCCTCCTTCATAAATGGATGAACTGAGGAAGAAAGCACATTGAATTGTCTGAAGCTGGAGAGAAAACTCCTTACAGCAGAAACCAACTCTCTGCAAACTCAAATGTGTGAAGGTGCAAGAGCAATGACAAGTGCTCTTACCATTCCCTCAGAAATACAGAACCCTAGATAATTACAGCCACTCATTCTCTCTCTTGCCACAGAGCAATTTTTTTATTTCCAGATATCTCCTGTATCATGAAAAGAAGCACTGTCAATTTTGGCAGAAGGTGCTGGTGAGGGCTGGGGCTGCTCCCTACCTGATGGGAATGCTGTTGCGTGTCCATGTAATCTCTGGCTCAGGATATGACTCCACTACACAGACAAACTTGGCAACATCTTCTACCAGGGCATCCACTGTTTCCAGAGGAGTGCTGATCAAGGGAGCTGTGTGAAGAAGAGAAAATGAGAGCATCTTCTGGTGCCTACAGGAGAGTGTTACATAGCCTACCAAACACCTTTGGTGGAGGGAGCCATGTCCCTGCAGGGTCACTCAATGGCATTTTCCCTAGAGGTCTTAACATAAGATGCAAAACAGAGCAAACCAAGCTCCCACAAGCTCAGTGCATTCTGTGTTTCTGACTCACCTCTTCCTCAAGACTCACAACAACAGGTGAGCATACTACAAGGACAGAGGTGAGGATGTCCCTCTGCCATAAGGGTGGCATGGCATAGGCTGGAAGTGCAAGGAGCAGCACAAAAATTGAAGCCAAGCTGACCTGCCCCTGGAGTGGGAAGAGTGCCTCCTTATTAGTGCAGGAGATGTGGGCTTTTTTGTCAATATTACAGGATTTATTCACTCAACTATTTATCTTTAAAGAAAAAAAAAATAGCAACAAAAAAAAAACTGTTATATACAAACACCAATCCAATTATACAGCACTATATTTTTCTAAGCCAGGCTCACAAAGACCATTCAGGTCATTTAGATTTGTGTCATGTCTAGGACCCATTCTCATTTTCTCACATTTTCTAACCAAGAAGCATGAGGGTTAGAAGTTTGATAGCTATGTCTAATGTTTATTATCATAAATCTGTAGTCATACATTAGTTGAATGTATCTTTAGAAACATTTGCCATCGCTCTGGTGAAAGACTTGAAGCACAGCTGGAAGGGATCAAAGCATAAGCCTAGCCACTCACTTTCCCTGCTCATGTTATTCCCTGCTCATGTTATTCATTGCAGCCACTGCCTTCAAAAACACTTGAATGTCTTGACCAATGGCTGCAAGAGACATGCATCCATATTGGTTGGACTGGATTTCACTGACAACTGTGTTGAGATAAACTAGTTTTTTCTATATTCCTGAAACACTACCTTGAAAATACATCATGGATTCAGGAGTCTTCCTGTTCCTCACTGAGCATAGCAGTTTCTGGCCCATTATTTTTTCACAGAGAATCCCAACTGCTGTGTATCTACTGGCCCTCCATAGTACAAAGAGATTCAAATTCAGGCAAAAAATAAACAATATCCATTTTACCGTTCCCTCCTTAAGGAATGGGCAAAAGAGAAGACATTCAGATTTAAGAGACTGAGAATAATAGAAAGTCAATATCTTAATCCTTTTTCAATTTACATGGAAGTCAAAATTAGAATGTTTTTGGAGTTCTGCTGGAATGAAGCTAGAGGAAGAAATGATCAGCTTCCACTGTCAAGTTTATGTAAAACTAAACACTTTTGACACTTGATTAGAATGAATCTGCCTCAATAATATTTCTAGACTGTATGACTTTGGATCGTATCATTGATTAACAATAACAACTATACTTATGTAAATCTCAAAACAACATCTCAGATAGCTCTAAAAGGTCATATGGATGAAACTTCAATTAGAACAAGTCTGTGACGAGTTCATTGTTTAAGATCACTGCTTCAAATTGTATCATGCATCACTTTCGGTGATGATGCATGACTATTTATTCAGTCATTTTGGGTCATATTAAACAGATATAATCATCTGTATTGTTCCCCAGATGAATCCCACACCAGTGAAACCAAATGGAAGACTTCTATAAAGTCTTCATTTTCCTACTGAAGGATGTCTTAGGAAAATAACCCCCACCAATGGTTATCCTCTCTGCTTTAAATGAAACATTGCTATTTTGTGGCAAAGTTTATTGGGGTTTAATGGCATTAACCCCAGAGTTTTGCAATCTAATTTTATATAGTACAGTTTTGTTGCTGTTGTCCACATTCCTCAATCTCTGGATGGATGCTTTTCTAACCCTAAGAAATGTAAATTTTTACAGTAATAATAATTCAAAACAACCAGTTTTATAACTGTTGTAACGGTAAACAAAGCCACTCCCACAAGTTATAAAGTTACATTTGTGCCAAGCGCTGGTATGCATAATGACAGTATTTTGTTCTTTGGGCAAATAAGACCTGTCAGGTTTCTATATAAATAAATTCTCTAGAAACAGTTACATACTTTCAAGTGTGTCTTTTATTCAATAGATGACAGAATATTGCATAGACATGGTCTGACCTGGTCCCTTTCGAAAGCCAAAATACAGATTTTTGGGCAGAATGAAGCCACGTGCTTCTAAGAAAATAGTGTCCAAACCGACAGCACTACAGTAATAGAAAAAGAAATCATTTTAAAACTGCCTTCCCAATTCTACAGCCTCAGAGAGCAACCATGACAGCAACAGGGATGTATATCTTTCTTTTATGCTCTTTTCACCTTTGTGATATTTAACCCAAGCAAGGACAGTGAGCAGTGGGACTTGCCGTCATTTTGTGAGACGGCAACAGAGTTCCGAAATGGCTGAGATGGTACTTACATCTAAAAGCTATTCAAACAGCTTGGATGCTGTTGCTAGTCCGTGTTTTCTTCAGAAAGCTCTCTAAACTCATGATGTGTGCATTACCATATTTTAACATAGGAAAATAAAATTTGAACAATGTACGGACATATCTACCATCACACAGAAATGGAGCCAGGCCTTTCCATGTGCATATACTGGGCCTTTCTCATATTTTTAAGGTATCCTTGTGGCTTTAAATAAATTGAAAATAAATTAATCTATATATGTGTAAAGCCACACAGGTGCCATTTTTCTGGATGTCAGCTGTAGTTTCCCGAGATAGAAAAATGACCCAAGGCTGGTCACGGGACCATGAGAAAGCCAAATCGCCTTCTGTCCCCAGCTCACCAGGAGCTTCCAAATGTGTTGGCTTTGGATTTGGATTCACACTTTCGAAACCAGACCAAACAGGCAAACAAAACAATACAGAAAACAGAACCAGTCCCTCTCCAACACTGCAGACACCTGAAGAAACTGCAGTTCATATGGTAAAAAACAGCTCAGCTGTGATGTCCTAGAAAATGCAATGTATCTCTTCATTACACTGCGACACAGAAAAAAAATCTATCCCTGTCCTCTTTGTTTTTCTTGTCTCTCCACTACTACTTATCTTACCACAATATTCACAAACATTAAGTTCCCAAACTTACTTCAGCGCCTTACAAATATACCAATATTTTTATTTCAAAACATTTTTATAAAGACGACACATTAGTTCTCTTTTTTTTATTTTGGTAATAACCTGACTAACAATTGTAAAAGCATAGCCCTACAAGAGCAGCAATGTTGGCCTAACATGTGAATACTGGCATTCCCCTTAAGATTTCATTTTGTTTTCCTGAAGCTGCGAAGTCTCTAGTAAGCGTTGAATTTCAAAAGCTTTGAATTGTAAATCTGAATCACCGTTCAGAAAAAATTGTTGTCCACAGCTTTACCAAACAGTACATCCAGAATGGTACTACAGTTGCGTTTTGTACCTCAAAGACTTCTCTAAACAGATTTTTTTACCAATTCTTTTATCAGCTAAAAGTATGTGAGCATATGCCCATATGCATGTGTGTGCACAAGACAGGAAGAAGGTATGATAACTTCTGCGTTATATGCTATAACAAACAGTGCATATTTGTACATATATACGTATTCTTTGTAAAGACATCATAGATATTTATTTCTTTTGAAGCTTTATATACTTAAAAACCTACATAGATGTGCTGAACACAACAGATCTTGTGCTCTGCAGCAACTGGTGCTACCAGCCATTAACACTTCTGAGCTTCCTTTCACAGGAGAAATTTACATCCCACCCAAGCTGAACCCAAAGGTCTCCCCTGCCTATTACAATGGACTATTTGCTCTTCACAGACAAAGAATTAAATTCCAAACACAAATATGAGAATATTTTCTCTGCTATCCTTCTAAAAGCAGAGCAGTGACCATTGAAAGCAGACCATTTTTGTCTTTTTTGGGAACGCTACAGCACCACCCTCCCCACTGTTAGCAGGGACACCTTCCCCTTTGCAAAACCTCCTTCAGCAAATGGCAGAAGAAGAGCAGGGAAAAAGCAAACCTTTCAGAAGTGTCTCAGCCAAGCTGAGGGCTGCCAGGGTGAGGACGTGCACCAGGGGCACCTTCAGCAGGTCATTCATGTTTGATCCAGAAGGCATCCAGCTCCTTCAGGCAAGGCGTGCAGACTTCCCAGCCGGCTGCATTTCGGAAGCAGTGTTCAAGCAGAGCTTCTCAGCAAGTGACAGAGTGGGCTCTGAGGGATCTAAGTATAATCAGGAATTCTCCCACCCAGTGGTGGTGACGGACGTGGCCAGCTGGTGTGTATCCACTTTGGTCAGTGTGAAAGCGTGGGGCTCATGAAACAAGAGAAAGCAAATCCCTTCTGAATTCCTTCTAAGCAAACAGAGAACAGTACAATGGGCAATGCATTTCCAGGGCAGTACCCTACCCCAGTGTTGCAAAGTCATCAGACTTTTATTCCAGAACACTGTAAGTGCAATAGCAGGAAAAAATGCTTGCCACTGCCTTTTCCTTCATCTTAGTCACCCTCTTTTCCAGTTTTTCTCCTCTCGCTCACACTCCCTCTTATTATAACCTTTCAAGATTGGCTGTAATATGCCACCTGTTGCCCTGCTGATAGTATTTCTTTTCTTAACAGATGCATTTGCTGGAGCAGAAGAGGTTGACATTGGTGACTAAAAGTGCCTTTCTGTAGGGAAATATGACAGTGGGGTTTAATCTCCAGAAATATCTTGTTAACCACGAGGTCTCTGCCTAAGATGAAAGACAGACAAATGCTCATTTTCTAGGAAGACTTAAAGAAACATCAGGATCAAGATCTTCTGACTCATTTTTTTCTTGCCCCATCCTACCACAAAGGCCTACATTATATTTTCCAAAAATGTCAAGTCATTTGTACTGCCTGGTTTTCCAACATAAATATTTATATGAAGAGTAAAGAGGCTTACCACTGTGGAAAGGCTAATGCAGGGGCAATATCTGCATGAGCAGGGAAAAAGATGAATAATCAGTCTGGGAAGAACCTAATTGATGATAATCCTCTTGGAACATGACTCCACATACTTTTTGTCATTTTATCAGCAGAGTGGACAAGAGCTTTGTGCTAAACTACATGGTTTGAGGAAAGCAAATGTGCAGTCATAACACATCACAGTAAAAGGTACTTTGAGATCTCTGGAATTTCCTTTATTTACTGAAATCTTGACTTAAACCACTTCTAAACAGTCATTTCTGCAATGAACGTACATGGCTCAGCAGTGCTTCTTCTAAGCAGCAAATGGAGTAAAACTGACCAGTGCTGGGAATGTGTGAATCCCTGCAGTTTGGCATGGCTTTATAATAGCAATGTTACTTTGGGGACTTGCCATCATTGATTAAGAACAAGGATCTCTAGACAAGCATTCCTCTGAAGATGAATAAAGGCAGAAACACTCACAGAAGATGTTAAAGGTATTCCAAAAATTCTGGAGCTAGCAATGACAAAAAAGCAAAACAAGAAGACAATGATGGAACAAGAATAATCCTACCAGGGAACAGAGAAATACTGATTCATGGCTGAAGTTACAGGTACTTTTTAGTTTAAGTCCAGACATATCCAATTAAAATGCTCCATAGAAATGCAACTTGGATTTTTCGGGTAAAATTCTGTTCATGAAGGGACTTGGCAAAAGACCTTTGCATTGCTGGATTCCTGTTTGGAATGTGTAATAAGGGCTTTGAAACTCCACCATCCCTATGAGTGCAGAAACTAATATTTCCCTTTTATTTGCCAATTGCAGCATTTAGAAATGTCACTGCCAGCAATAGCTGTTAAACCCTAACAATGCCTTTGCATTTTGGGGATTACCAAAGTACTCCTAATCTCTCATTTCCTCTACTGCATATATTTTTACTAAGGATTATAATGAGCTCCACTACTCTAAACAGAAAGGATGTAAATGTAAATACATGGGCAAAGGTACACAAGCTCCAGCTACACATGCCACACAGCTAACATACAATGTATATGGGAAACTCGTGGTCATCTGTATATGGAAAGATGTTTCTATGATTTCACACTGAAATCAGTGAAAATCAAATGTTGGTGACACCAAGCCTTCTTTGATTCCAAGTATTTTCCAAGCTCACCTTATAAAAGTAAAATGCGTCTTTAATTTTTACTCATGGGGTTATGAGTTTGTTGCTTATTGGTTGTTGTGATTGGGGTTTTTCCTAACAAAGCTGAGATGCATGCAGTTTACAGATAATTGTTTTTACATCTGTTGTTTCTTATAGTCATGCCCCAAGTCATGCTTCTGCTGAGATGAGGTCCCAGCAGCCTACACAATAATGAGAAGAAGTCCAATCCCCAGCTTTCAGACGTTGTGGGAGAAGCTTTGATCCCATGTATTTCTGCTTATCTCTCTGCACTTCAAACACTCCAAAAATGCCAGTTCATGAAGTTCAGTACACAAGACAAGGTGTGTTTCATTCACCTAGCTACCATTTTTTCCCACTGCAAACTGTTTGTGAAGTGACAAATACTGTATTGTGAAATAAATGCATAAATACAAAGAAAGTAGTAATTTGCTAGAGTTGGTAGAAGAGATAATTGACTTGCAGTCAATGAATTGCTTGACATTTCACCATTATGATAAGTGGAAACTGTTTGCTGGAGACAACCATGCTGGATCTTTTTTTTTTGTACACCTCTGTACACTTCCCTCCTTCTCCCAAATATTCTGCTGACAGTTTGCATGCTAATGTGACATAATTTGACCACTGAATTATTTGAAAACTGCCTTTTCTCCCACATCACTCTCTTGGATGTCTTCTCCCCAGGTAGTCCTAGACGTTCATCCAGGTAGACAGGCTAGGACAGGTATTTCCAACAGAAACTGTCCAGACAAAGAACAAAATCATCCTACAGAGAGAAATTGCTTTGGCAGTGTTCCTAATTACCCAAGTATCTGGTGATTCACACTGAAAATAGTGCAAGTCAGCACTAACCCAGCCTGAGGAGTGATTGACTTGCCTGACCTCAGTTTGAGGTGAGGCTGACTGGCCTGGAGATCCATGGATCCTCCTTCTTGCCCTTTAACTGGGTGATGTTTGCTTTCTTCCAGCGCTCAGGCACCTCTCCTGGCCACAACAACCTTTCAAATATTTGTATTTGGTATGAGGTGCAACACCACCTCCTTTGTCATTGGCCTCTCCACTTGTATGAGAAAGTGATCATCAATACTTTCAAAGAACATCCTGGATTGTTTGTGTATTGCTGAAGGTAAGCCAGAAAATGAGCATGCCCTAACCAGCCGAGATAGCAGATGTGTACAGACACAGAAGACAAGTGGTTTTCAAATCCCAAGCTGCTCCAAGCCTCTTCCAGCCAGCAGAGAGATGAAAAGGATGTACTGTGCGGTCTTCCCTTCAGATGGATGGCATGCACATGTCCCTGCATGCACTAACTTGGTGCCTGATGCACACTTGCTGCTTCCTGCCTCAAAGCTGCTGGCCTCTTAGATAGTGGCATCCTCACAAAACATTTGGCAGGGGGATGCACATATGCCTTTCTATGCAGAAATGAATCATTGTCACATTGTCATACAGTTATGGTCACACCACTCCTCCCATTCCTCCCTGCTCACTTTGCCTGCAGTACCTACAGGCAGCGCAAGCTCCTGGGTGTCTGACATGGAAGAAGCACCTTTGACAATGCATGCCAGCATTAGGGGAGGAGACAAACATCATTTTAGTTCTCTTACTACACAGTGCAAGTTGCTTCTTTACAGTAATCCTGAGTTGAAGCAGCTCATGTAGCCACCAGCTCCAAGGGATTCAACGCAGCCTCCAACACACAATGTGGCCAGTAAGGTACTGTTGCTTGTGTCAGAACAGCAAATGCTGTACTCAGTGTGATATGTAAAGGACTGAGCTGTACTGCTGCTGTTCTTTACCCTGCACTTGACACTTCCTTGTTTAGTGTTTTTATTTTTTAATTGTCAAGATGAAAGAATGGCTTTTCTCTAAAGTCCTTTAAGAAACACAGACCCTTCCCAAAGCCCCAGTCAGTGTTTAAATTTGAGGGTTTCAGACGCACTTGGCTTGACCTTTACCCTCAGCCATCTGGACCAATCTCTGGTCTCCTTCTAATATTTCAACCCTTACTAAGCTCTGATGCCTCAATCTGAAATAATTCTCTTTTATTTTCTTGAGACTTTGTGGCAATTGGGAAAACTAAAATTTGCATTAATTTCTTGGTATCATCTTGCTATAAACTTCTCTATAATTTTTCAGCTCACAAGATCTGACAATACTGACTAAGGACAATCTAAGATGCCATACTATGTTTTGTGGTGGGGCAAAATTATGTAGGGTTATGAGATGTAATTAGTGTGATGGAATAATGTAAACAATGCAAAGAAAGAGAAATAACCCTTGCCATGCACCTAGCTAGCTGTGCATGCTATATATAACACAGAGGGTGAGCTGAATGCCTTTATTTCATAATATATAAAACTAATTCCTCTGCTGGGAGATCTGCCTCTATTTCAGTTGCTACCAATGTTATCCAGCCCCACACCATAGCACAGGGAAAGACCCCACCCTTGATAACCCTCTCCTTTCAGAGGATAACGCTGTCATGGTGCTGAGCTGGAGTGGGACAGAGATGCCCTGTTTCCCAAAGAGAGTTGCCACAAAAAATATATGACCCTTGCTCCTCAGCTTCTGGTTTCAGTCTGTCAACCTGTACTTCCCATTGGAAGAGTACAATCTGGGGACCAGGATGGCTGTTGACACACAAAACCTGCTCTCCATCACATGGTGTCACAGCCCAGCAAGTGAGAAACAAGACCTGCATTTAGATAATGTTATAGCAGAGCTCTTACTGGCCCCTGCTCAGGGAACTGGGAAAGGAGGGACCCAGTGTGGATCTCCAGGCCACAACAGCCATATGAAGGAGAGCATCTGCCTAAGTGATCCTTTTTTGCAGAAATAAGGATGTGTTTCACAACAGGAATACATTAGGGACTTAATTTATCCCATTGATTTTGATCCCAGAATACTGCACCTTGTAGTATATCACACTCACCAAGAAATAAATATAACCTTAGCTTGATCTGACAGTAATATTGGCAGT